GGGAGAAATGTTCGTCAATCTGTTAGGTACTAATGGGCGGAATACGTAGTCAGACCATGAAGCATGTGAAAATAGGTCATTCAGAGTTGTGCTATGCAGTACGGTAGCACTAGACACAAGTCTTCTGAGCATCTGAAAAGTGGTTAGTGTGACTAAGGAACTAAATTTTAATTTATTAATTTAAATTTAAAACTTGATAATTCAGTTATTGGCAAACTTTTAAATATGTTCAAGTACGTTTGGAACAACCTGGGTATATGAATCTACTTTTTCAAGTATATTTTATGAAATCTAAATACAGACCAAGTATTCCTGATGAAAATTTAGCATCCGAACTGAGATGTGCTATACGTAGATACACAGTGGATTTTGAAGACTCGACTTGAAAAGAAATGGAAACTATCTCATTAATGTTTTTTGTATATTGATTAAATGTTGAAATATTTTGGCTATACTGGATTAAACGAAGTATATCATAAAATTAATTCACTTTTTCAATGTGGTTCCTAGAAAAAACTGAAAACGACACAGGGCTCACATCATATTTCTATAGGGTAGTGCTGTCTTAGCGCATGGATCTCAAGTCTTGAGAACTCTGATGCCATCTGCTGGATACCCTCGTACAAAACAGGCCTGTGAGAAACAGGAAAACTAACACTTGAAGAACTCTGGGTCTGAAGTGGAAGAGGATGTAACCTGGGATCACAAAATACTAAAGTAAATGTATGCTAAGGGGGGATGAGAAATAGGTCCCTACAGTCTTTGAAATCCTAGAGGAAATGTAACTTACAGTTACTAGTCGACAGTGACCATGAGCTAACGTGGAAGGACTACTTCGCCGTCCACCCTAGGCGCCCTGGGCAATAAGAAAAGGTGATTTGGGACCCCTTTCGTGGCCACCGTCCCATCCCCCTGGGCTTACTGCTGCCAGGCTAGTCTTCCCGTGCCTTCTCCACAATGAGCCTCTCCAGTCCTCCTGTTCTACCTTACACACACGTCCTCTTTCCATCTCGCTCATATTTGTCTATTGTTCTCCTCCTCCCCTTCCTTGTTTTTTCTTATGATTCTAGGATATCTAATAATTCTATTTTTTTCTTTTTAATATTGCAATTTTTCTTTTTGTCTCCTCTCCCTTTGTCCCACAAGCTATTTCAGTTGGTTTTTTAGTTTTAGCTCTTACATTGAGGTCTTTGATCCGTTTTGAGTTGGTTTTGTACGTGGTGTGAGGTATGGGCCCAGATTCATTCTTGTGCATGTTGATAGTCAGATGTCCCAGAATCATCTGTTGAAGAAACTATTCTTCCCCATTGGATGGTCTTGGCACCACTGTCAAGACTCAACTGACCACAGATGTATGGAGTTATTTCTGGACTCTCAACTCTATTCCAATGATCCACACTGGCTCATTGTCAGTACCACATTGTTTTGATTCCTGTAGCTTTGCAGTAAGTCCTGCAGTCAGGAAGTGTGAGTCCTCCAACTTTGTTCTTCAACATTGTTTTGGATATTCTGGGTCCCCTGCGATTGCATATGAGTTTTAGGATCAGCTTATCATTTTCTTGTTTAAATTTCATATTTCAAAGAGGTATCTGCCTAACTAGGCTGACAGAATGACCATCAACAGGACTGAAACTTTGCCAATGACATGGAGTTTAGAGGTTAAGTTTGCAAGAATTTGGGATTTTTGTCTAATATTGCTTAATATTGGGGCAACAAGCCTGAGAGCAGAAGGCATCAGAGAAAGCATGAGTCTGGGAACAAACATGAGCCTAAACAAACTGCATTTAAGTCCCAGATCTGCCATTTAGGTGCCACATAACCTTGGATGAGTCGTTGACCCTCTCTGCACTCCAGTTTGCAATATGCCATGAGAATGAGGCACTCCTATCAACACCACAGAGACTGCACATCACAGAGCCCATGGGAGGGCGGGCTCCTTCGAGCACTGGAAGATCTGCTCTAGCATGTTCTTATAGGACTCACTGGCCTGGGAGGCGGCCATAGGAGCCCTGTGGGCCTGGTTGGCCAACTCCTACTGCTCGCCTGCAGCTGTAAAGAGGACACTGAGGTGTAACAGGCAGAAGATGCGGACAGTACTCAGGCACAGGAAGTCCTTCCAGAGCCCTGCTCACCCCCACTGTTAGTAAAGATGAAGGGACCTACCTGTCCCTCACTCCAGCCCACGTCTACTCCAATCAGGCTTCTGAGGTGACCTGGCTCCGAGAGTGATGAGGGCCTAGAGTGGGAACAGCAGGGAGGCAGGCTGAACTGAAAAACTAACTCTTATAGCTAAGGAGTATCTGGCTGTCTGACCAGGCCCGGCAGCCTCCACATGTGCCCCAGCCGTTCGACACACACCTACTGAATGCCTACTATGCCTCGGTGGTGATAACTGCCACTTAGGATGGGATGACAATCACAGTAAGTGACTTCAACCTCTACTGTTCTGGATTACCAAGTTCTCCTCCTTGGTCTTCCTTATCTTTCAACTGTCATTGTCTAACAGTCCACCAGCTTCGGGGTCCTCTTGGAGACTAGGTCACTTGCCCTCCCACACAGTGTCCCCTCACTGGCCACTGTGTGACAGGCAAAAAGTCCTCCTGAGAGATGCTCCATTAACGGATCTGGAAGCTGAATCCTGGGAACAAAGACATCTGCATGCTAGTATTTGCAAAAGAAAAGGCATGGAGCCTTAGATCTGAATGAGCCGTGGGGGTGCGTACGCAACAGATAGGGCTACAAGCTCCCAGGTGTCAAATAATACAGACTATTTCTCCTCTCTCACAGCTCAACGTAAATCCAGAGGAATACGTCTCCACACCAACTAGAAAGAAAGGAACGGCCAAGGGCCACCAAGTTCCCACAGCGCCATTCACTCTCTTCCTTGCTTACAAATCCAACCTGAAGTCCGTGTCTTCTAGGGAAAGGACTGGAAGAGAACAGTACAATTCACTCCCTAAAGTTAACTTATTTTCCCCATTCTGGGAGAGGAAGGCACGCTCAACAGTAGGAACTCAAGTCAGAATGCTTTTTAAGGGCCGGCCCCGTGGCTTGGTGGTTAAGTGTGCACACTCCGCTGCTGGCAACCCGGGTTCAGATCCTGGGTGCTCACCGACGCACTGCTTCTCCGGCCATGCTGAGGCTGCGTCCCACATGCAGCAACTAGAAGGATGTGCAGGTATGACACACAGCTATCCACTGGGGCTTTGGGGGAAAATTAAATAAATAAATAAAAATTTTAAAAAAAAAGAATGCTTTTTAAGTTCATGTCACTTGTTTATAGTATATCATCATATCATCCAGAGTTTCAAAAGTGACCGTAGGGGCTTGCGGTGGGCTGCTGGGGGCAGGAGTGGATGACATGTGTGAAGAACCGGGGTCATGGCTTTGGCCAGAGTGCTGCCTGGGGTCACTCTGCACAGGAGCAGGTCTGCTCCACCTCTGGCTACTGAAGGAACCAGTTCTCTTTTGACCCACTAAGTAATCTGATGGTGGGGCAAACTCAGGATCTCTCTCAGCTGGGAGATTTGACTGCCTCTTCGACCAGTACCCAAAGGAAAATTCTAGAAAAAATAAGAAAGGGTATTATTAGAACTGATTATTGAATCAGCTGAATTTTTATTATTATTACTTTTCAGTTATTGTATATATTTGTTAAAAGCCACCTCCAATTCTCTAGAGAACAAGGATAGCAATAACAAAACTATAATGCAAGGTATATGTAATGCCTACAAAAGTATAAGAAACCAGGCTAAGGAAAGGGAGTGACTACTTCCAGATGGGGAAGGATTCAAGGGAGGCTCTGTGGAGAAGGCTGGTAGGCTCTGGAAACTGCCAGAAAGGCACTAAAAGTACATTTGAGAGGAGGAATAGAGAAAAATCAAACCGTTTGCTTGATATGATGTCATAGGTACTTAACATTAAAACACAAATTTTGTCCTTTACTGAGTTTTAGGAGACACAAAAGGCACCTGTCCAAGTCTAATTTGGTATCTCATCTCTACTTCTACCAGCAGCACTAACCAAGGCACTCACCTACTTGCGTAGCTTTTACTTTAGTCTTGCATCTCATCAGCTCAAAGAGCATGAGCTAACGTACTACTGAAAACATCCCTTTCAAAGAGGCATAAACCACAGTCTTGTTCCAAAGAGAGGCTGCTGTGGGCACCGTGGTGTTTTTACAGAAAAAATTTACAGAAAATTTTGCATAACCCAGTGGAACCATATGTGAATCCAGGTTAATATTCTAGCACGCAGGCTGTTTTCAGTTGAACATAAAAGAGACTGCTAAAAACACAGAGGACATTAAAATACCAAAGCTATACCAATACCTAAGATATTAAAAAGCGGTTCCTGAGAAATGGCATTCCAAAGCTGTAAAACCACAAGGACAGCACGAATTTTAAAAAACTTCCCCTAAGTGCTTCTTAAAAACATCGCCCAGGGGCCGGCCCGGTGGCGTAGCAGATAAGTGCACACGCTCCGCTGCAGTGGCCTGGGGTTGGAAGGTTCGGATCCCGGGCGTGGACGGATGTACTGCTTGTCAAGCCATGCTGTGGCAGCGTCCCATATAAAGTAGAGGAAGATGGGCACGGATGTCAGCCCAGGGCCAATCTTCCTCAGCAAAAAGAGGAAGATTGGCGACAGATGTTAGCTCAGGGCTAATCTTCCTCACGGGAAAAAAAAAAAATCGCCCTTTTGACATGACGTGCTGTAGACCCTGGTATTTTGTAATCATACTGTCTAGTGCTCCTGGTCACAGGTAGTGTCTGGATATCGAGAAGAAACAAGTTCAAGGATCTGGAGAATTCCTTAAGCCTCAAACGACCACTAAGATTCACTGGAACCACACTCCGATCAGAAGAACCAGAAAAATCTCCTGTGCAGGGCACAGCACTGGAAAGGGTTTCAACCTGGAGCCCACCCCCTTACCTTTGCCTCTTTCACTCCTGGACATGTGGCACTCCAGGCCTCGTGTTCTTCCTCTCCTCAACAATGACTTCTACTTTGCTACTCTGGGTAGCAGTCTGCAGAGTTGGCACGGCCTCTGGTTCTGGAGGCACAGGCCCAAGAACACCTCCATCTAGTTTGTGCAGGAGAGTAAGACATCATTATAATAAAGCTTAAAGCTATTTAAAAAACAAACAAACATTAAATAGAACATGCTGATCCTGAGAGTAAAGGTAATAACCAGTATTTACTGAGCACTCATCACATCCCAGGCAGGGGGCTAAGTAGTGTGTATACAGTAGTTCATTTAATCTTGTAACAACCCTCATAAAGCCAGTATTAGTATTCCCATTTTACAGATGAGGAAAATTAAGCTCAGAAACACTACATAGGTTAGAAAGAGACAAGAGCCAGGATCCAAACCCAGGTTGGACGGATTTCAGAGTCTCTGTGTTTCCCACTACATCACTCCACTTCCCCAGACCAACAATCGAAGGACCAGAAATCCCCAATTACTCAACTAAAATCAGAGTCTCAGACAAAGCAAGGAGACTTAGCGTGATGAAGAGCCTGGAGCCTGGTGACAGGCTGTAGGCTATTCAACTTTAGCCATATTTGAAAAGAACGTGGATTTTTAAAAAACACTGTACTGGCACTTCACATCTTGTGGAAATGACAGATGTTCAGGAGTAGAGCAAAACGGAAACAATATGCAGAGCATGTTACAGGGAGATAGCATTTATACAAAACTAAACAGACAATTTTCCAATCCCTAAATGTTCCTGGGCTCCTTTCAAGACTAAACTGAGGTTGAGTTCAGAATTAGAAAACGGCCCACACTTAGTACACGGCTTCAGGGAGAGTGGAGAGGTTTCTATATGCCCCTAACACCCACACTCCCCTTCTTCCTTCTGGGACTAGAAC